TCTTCTTGTTCTTCTTCTTGTTCTTCTTCTTGTTCTTCTTCTTGTTCTTCTTCTTGTTCTTCTTCTTGTTCTTCTTCTTGTTCTTCTTCTTCTTCTTCTTCTTCTTCTTCTTCTTCTTCTTCTATGTAGCACTCGGTGCGCTACATTTGCCTCGCTCATGTAGCGACACGACTTGCCGACTCAAAGGTCTGATATGGACTGACCTAGCGATTGCCATTCGTCGCTTTATATAGTCTATACAACGGCCGCTCCTCGCGCGCAAGTACTTACACTTTCTTGGAGGTGACTGTATACGGCGCAAGTTCGGCCCCACATGGAATACTGCTCGCATCTCTGGGCGGGAGCACCCCAGTACCAGCTTCTACAATTTGACCACATACAACGGAGAGCGATTCGAATCGTCGACGACCGAGCTCTTACTGATCGGCTCGACGCTGGCGTTGCGGAGGGACGTTCGTTCCCTCTGCATTTTCTACCGCATATACCACGGGGAGTGCTCTGAATAATTGTTTGGAACGATTCCTGCCGCCGAGTTCCGTCATCGGACGACAAGAAAGACCGCCAGGTTCCATCCACCCCATCTCGATGGCTGCGGTTTGCGCGAAACTTCCTGCCTCGCACAGCAGCTTTGTGGAATGGTCTGTCCTCGGCGGTATTTCCAAACCGCCACGACTTAGGGTCCTTCAAGAAGCGAGCTTATCACCACCTCAAAGGCCGGCAACGCATCCGCAGTTCCTCTGGTATTGCTGATGTCCATGGGCGTCGTTGAACACCTCGGTGTTCCCGCTGCTCGTTCGCCCCCTTCTGTTATATAAAAAAAAAAATAAGTGCCGGGAAAACACCAAAACAGCTCTTTTCTTTTTCCTATATAAACGGCTAAATGGTTTTCGCTGAAACTTGGCATAGATGTAGAACATAGTCTAGAAGAACACATAGGCTAATAATTATATTTAATTGCGCGCGACCGGAGTCGTGGGCGACAGCTATACACATATAAATTGACATAAATTATTAAAGATACATCAAAAATCACTTTAGTTTGTATATTTACGAAGTTACGTAGTAGTCTAAATATTTTAAAAGGAATAATTTCGCGGGAATCTTCTCTTTAGGAGGTCAGTGTACCCTGATGGCAGTGTTTAAGATAACTTTGCTGTGAAACCTGTTTGTGACACTGTTGACCTCTGAATACCAAATGAACTACATAATACGTTATATCTGGGATATTAGTAAAAGGATAGCTTTAAATATATAAGATTAAACAACATTTCGGATAATGTACTGTAAAATAATACGTTATTTTTAGTTTTAAATTGATATTAATCAATTCTGAAATAATCCTGGTCTGAATGTTAAAACAAAATCATAAAAATGTTTATCATCCCATAATTATGACATATTTTTAAGTCACGCTAAATCATGTCTTATTAGAATCACAATAAGGTTAAAAACAATTAATCTTCTTATTACAGTTGAGAACCCGAACTTCGATCAGGGCTACTTCGGGCCATGGCGTGTTTGCAAGAAGCTGCTGTACAACAGAGAGAAATGCGGCACCGACGTCTCAAAATTCAGGCCATCAAGTAAGTCACAACTCTATTGTTTATGGAATAAGGAATAAAATAAAATTTCATAGTAAGTGACCATAGATTTGTGCCAGCCATATTTAATAGCGGCTAGTAATTTACAAAATGCTGCAAACAATGCCAATTTACGTATCGATGTGACCTAAAAGGATGATTTTGGCATTCCTTCGCGTTCTTTACTTATATTTCTTCTTATATCTTAGATCGTCAAATATAAACTCAAGCTATAAAAAATAATATTTACAGACAAACGCTAGTCTCGCATCTTTCTAATATTATAAATGGGAATGTTTGAATGTATGGATGGAAGTACGTTTAGCATAGATGTAGTTACTAGCATAGAAGAACACATAGACTACTATTTTTTTTTATTTACGGTAAATCCCACGATAATTGTTTAATTGATTTTCTTTTATAGAATGATTTAATATGGTATTTAAACGCCAAGTTATTAGTCATTCAAGTCTTACAACATTGATCAGTATCACTTAAGTATAACTTAAGTGTTTGATATCGAACGAAAAGGAAAGTATAACATCCTGTATCCGTAACTTGGCAGACGTAATCCTGTCACGTTTGTGTTACAACGTTCTTATAAATACCGCACCGGATGTTTGTAACACTAATTTTATAGCAAAAGAAAAAAAACTCTGTTAAGACTCTGAAAATTGTATCATTCCTCTTCGACTTTTAGCCAATATCGACGCGCCAATATTCTTATAATTACGGGTACGGATATCCGATAACTAGGTCGGGGGTTCGAGTCCCGCCATTCCGCCACAAACATACAGCTTAGTTGTTACTAGAAATATTAGTAAATTAATAATCTGCTAATATTTATAAAAAGTCACAAGTAGGCTTGTCTCGTGTCGATTTGCAATTTGCCTTGGAATATAACAATTGTTTATTTGCCGGTGACATAAACAAAGTTTTTATATAAATCTAGTCGACATCTCATGCATTTTTTATGGTCGATGAGCAAAGCATATCAACCGTTATTTTAAACGCCCTTGCGCTCGTTCGCTTGTATCAATGCTATTTTTAGAATATTTACCTACTACCCTTAATATTATTTGCGTGTAGTCAAATTTTGTTTCCTTCTTCTAATCTTACTAATATTATATATACTAGCTGTCGCCCGCGACTCCGTCCGCGCGGGATTAAAAATAGATGTTGGCCGATACTCAGACCTACTCAATATGCTCACAAAATTTCATGAGAATCGGTTAAGCCGTTTCGTAGGAGTATGTGAACGAAAATTGTGACACGAGAATTTTATATATACATAAGATTGTTTAAATAGATGAATGTTTGTTAGAAGGTATCTCCAGAACGGCTCTACGGATCTCGATGAAATTTGGCATAGATGTAGAATATAGGCTGGAAGAACATACAGACTACTACGTACTCAGGGAATGGCTTAAGACTACATTTACTTAGGGATGACTAGGCCTTAGTCAACAACGTTGGGCCTATGCTGATTGGTTGGTTCAAGAGTGTTTTACGATATGGTAAATTCAAACGTATTTCAAGATGACACAAGAGGATGATACTCGTACAACTAGGAAATAAATTAGGAAACAATGCTTTTCTCTGTTCTTTGTTATTTCTGCCTTAATTGCCTGTCTGGCATTGAATATTTTAAATTTAGCTGAGTAGCGTAATTCTTAACCTTCGCTGTGATTAGACGTTTTATATCAGTCCGTGCGGGATTTAATTAGTCGGCTAAGTCTTCTTACAGACTATGTTCTACATCTATGCCAAATTTCAGCTAGATCAATTCTGCCGTTCTGGAGATATCTTCAAACAAACATCCATCCATCCAAACATTCGCATTTATAATATTAGTAAAATAGTATTTTATTATTATCTTTAGATTGCAGTCACAAAAAGTAACTACAAACAAATCTATTATCAAGTAATTACGTTTCCAACAAAATAGATAAAAGTATTGTAAATATTTGTAAGCCGTCCTTACCATCTCTACGCAAGGGGATGACACGTTGGCCCACACCGCAAAAGAGAAGGCCGACCTTCTTGGCTCTCTTTTCGCGTCCAACTCGACTCTGGAGGACAAAGGTTGCTCGCCGCCGAAAATCCTGTGCGGTGACTCCTTTACGCCCGAAATCCAGTTTCGTCAGAGTTTAGTGCGTAAAGTACTTCAATCCCTGGACGTTAATAAGCCGAGTGGGCCCGATGGAATCCCTCCCATTGTGCTTAGGACTTGCGCTCCTGAGTTGGCACCGGTTTTAACGCGCCTGTTCCGGTTCTCCTACTCTGTAGGCGAAGTCCCGAAATCATGGAAAACTTTTTTTTTTTTTTTTTCAGAGGGGAATGCTTTATGCATACTCCGCGCCCCGGGGGGGACGCGGTAGTTATGTGGGATTCTCTTCCGGATGGGAAGCATACCCACTAAACCCCTCTGTTCCTCCAACGCATCGGGACGGGACCACGGGCACGCTTTCGCTCTCGTCCGCGGCCCCGTCTGCGCCAGCTGCCGAGGCAGCTCCCTCTCGGGGGGGAGGCAACCCTCAGTCGCCGGTGATGGACTCCCCCGTGTCCATCACCAGAGGGCTATTGTGGGGGGGGGAGGGCGGCGATATACTGCCGCCTTCTCCACCCCACTCTTCTACGTCTGAGCGGGGGCGCCAGGGGATCTCCCTCGCGCTCCCGCTCCTCCACGGTCGTCAATTTCCTCCACTCCCGGGCGCGGGCGAGCTCTTCCGGGGCAGGAAGGTCGCCCCGGGCTCTCTGCTCAGCCCGCACCCAGTAGTCTTCGGCCAGCACTGCCGCCTCAATCTCCCAGGGGGGAGTGCCGGCTAGAAGGCAGGCCGCAGCATGGCCTACCGTTCGGTAGGCCCGGCATATTCGCGTCGCGATGACGCGCTGCGGCCTGCGGAGGAGGGCCCTGTTCGACGGGTCTAGGGCATCAGCCCATATCGGCGCGCCGTACAGGGCCATGCTCTTGACGACCGTGGCGTACAGCCGTCTGGCATGTACGCCCGGACCACGCACATTCGGGAGGAGCCTCGATAGGGCCGAGGCCGCGCCCACGAGCCTGGGGGTCAGCGTCCGGAAGTGTTCTCGGAACCGCCAACCCCCGTCGAGGACAAGGCCAAGGTATTTGATTTGCCTCTTGACCCTGACCTCGTCCCCGCCGACCCGGAGCGAGGCGCCCGCAGGGACCCTCCACCTTGGCCCTTTAAAACAAAGGGCCTCGGTTTTGTTGAGGGCCACTCGGAGTCCGAGCGCCTCAATCCTCCGGGTCACTAGTGTGGCTCCGGCCTCAGCCCTCCTCTTCACGCGCCTCCAGGTGCTGTCCCGGACGGCTACCAGCGTGTCATCTGCATAGCAGATGACAGCCATCCGGGGCAGCACCTCTCCGCGGATGGCCCAGTCATACCCGATGTTCCATAACAGGGGCCCTAGTACGGACCCCTGTGGAACACCGGAGGCCATCCGCCTTTCCTCCCTGCCACTGCTCCCCATGTAGGACACTACCCGATCTTGTAGGTAGTGTCCTACGACTCTCCGCAGGTAGGGGGGCACTCCGTGATATCGGAGTGCCTCCCCTATGACCTCAAAGGGAAATCATGGAAGACTGCCATAATCCACCCGATCCCTAAGAAAGAAAAAATTAATCAATTAATTTCTACAAAATAATATAGTAACAATGTGATATATATCTATGATGCGTTTGTGCGTCTGTTTATCTTAACATCACGTAACGGCATAGTATGCTAATTGATTCAATGAACAAGGTTAAATTTAACTACAATTGTACGTCGCGTGCGTTTCCTTTCACGTAGACAGATAGACGGACGTGACTGCATGTTGATGCATAATAATACATGGAATTTTATTCCTATGCAATCACAAAGAAAAATTAATATTTATATCAACTTCTACAAGACTCTCAGACAAAAAAGTAGCCTATAATGTTCCCTTCAAGTGAAAGTCTCGTTAATATCGGCCCAGTCGTTTCGGAGATTACCCAGATTATATACAGCCTTGGACAGATAGGCTGGCAAAATTAAAAAAATAAATTGGTTTTATTTTATCAGTAACGTGAATACTCGTACATCATGTTCGCGAAATATGGTCTTTTTTACGATATTACATACAGATACACCTATTTTATTAACATGTATATAAAGATAGATTAGTAGTTAAGATGTTTCAAAAATGGTTTGGAACGAACATGATAAAGTAATACATACTTCGCCAACCCTTCATACAAAAGATGGCAGATAGATGATTTTTAATTAACACACCCAATGCCATCCCATATTCCCCTGCCAGTTTAGTTGGCATTGAATGTGTTAACATAACTTATATTAACCACTAACAGTTCGGGTTCCAGAAAAATTGTAACATCAAAAGGTTAATTCTAACACAATTTGCGCCAGACAATTACATAGATGAATATCGATACCATTGTATACCTTTAGATTATACTCTATAAAAGAGTACAGACAGACAAAAATAACATACATGTTTGCGTGTCTGACCTGTTTTTAATGAATTAGTCTGTTTTATCGAGTAGGTTAATGTCTCATTGCGAAGGTCAGACCGCACCTAAGCCTCTAAGTATATCCCAATGAATATAATAGACAAACTTTTACGTTTATTTTCGTAATAAATATATAAATAGACCTGTCATCAGTTTCAATTTGTATTCAGTTTTTTTTTAAATTAAAAAACAAATATAATATTGTTTATTCAGCTGTACAAGACACACGGGGTTTAAGTGTGTGCTGATCGCGTAGTTTGATAGAAAATTAACAAGTTACATGAAATAATATTATTGAAAAGGATCAAGCTCATTTGATTTTCCACTAAACAAATACAAACATATAGCTGTCTTTTTCTTATTTAGAGAATGAGAGGGTTAACAATTTTTATAAGCGTAGGCAGTATAAACTCATGGTAATATTGCACTTTAAACTCGCAACACACTTTCAGCTTTTTAACTGGATAATATGTGAACTGTCATC